CTTTCAATTTGACTCGAAACTAGTGACGCCGTTACATATCTCGTCACAGGTGATTGTAACTAGTGACGTGAAATAACGCTCACGTCTACTTGACACTTGATATCTGTTGTCTTGATCGGTTTTGGTTGCCATATTTGTTATAATGTTCCATATTATATTGTCATTAAAGAATTGATCATACAATTACGAATAGGTTGTAAAAATACTTGATTATTTCGTAGTTTATACTTGGTTTGTAGGTTTACTATTTACTTTATAAAATGGCTGACGTCGGAAATAGGGAACAATCGATAACAAAAGTGCCAATGATTTATGTTTGCGGTGGTAAGTATTTTGCTTTAATGTGGCTTAGTCTTGCATTTCTGAATGACTTCAATATGACAATAGACAACAAAGCGCTCCAATATCTTTGTGTGACTAGTTCAGTTTAAATGTGTTTTAGAAACCTAATCCTATTTCTCAGAATACCCGACCAAAACTGTCCAAAATGTATTTTCACTGTCAACAGTGCTCTAGATAATACGAATGCTTAAAGACAACCAAACAACTGTTGTACCTTAAAAAATAATTTCTAGTGTATCAGGATGAAATCATCTTTACACTCCTATAACAGCCATAATGTTTTTCCAGAGTGCCACAAAGAAAATGAAATAAAGCCGAGGGATCCAATACGATGCAGGGAATGTGGCTATCGTATCATGTACAAGAAAAGAACAAAAAGATGTATCCTTTTCTATTTCATCAATTTGTCACATTTGAATCATTTGAATCATGGTCAAATTCCAATTTTGGCCAATCGGCGACCACTAGTTTAATCAAAATGTTTTAATTTGATTTACAGTGGAAGTAATTTGTTAAAAAAAAAGGGATAAAAGTTGATTTCTGATATATAGTAACAGTGTAGTGGTAGTTGTTATATATCTTAGTGGCATGAAGCATCATAGTATATATTGCTATGCAGAAAACAATTTAGGTGTACCAGGGCAAAAACAAATGCAGGGGGAGGGAACTGCAGTTTGCAAATGAGCTGCCAGGATTTTTGAATACTTTTCCAGGAATAGTTGTGTTTTTATGTGTATATTTAAAAAGGGTGGACAAAAATCCCAGTACGCTTCAATAATGTTGGACAGTTTATATTATGAATGTATGTGTATATAATAGTATATAATCTGTGGCTTAGGAATTTGAGCACTAGACTTGTAATGCCCAAGTCCTGGGATTGAATCTTACCATGTACCCATGTGATTTTCAATTTTTCAAATTTCATATGTCCATTATTTACAAGGAAATTCAAAGATATGTGTGAAGTCAAACAACCTGCACTGAGTAAGAGTGGTTGACTAAGTCATAGACACCCTAACTTGGGTAGGCTTCAAACACCTGAGTGGCAGCATATAGTGAACTGGTGGAGCCTGTATATTATGTGCATTTTTCTAGTAAATTTCCTAATTTAATCATATTCATGGTCGAAAACTTATGAAATTCAAGAGGTAGGTATTATTTGGAGTCTTAATACTTTAAATATTTTTCAGTGTTTCAGTCATAATATTTTTCTTAATTATAAAAACAGTGGTTGTGTTCGACGCACGATGATCCAGAGGAATAATACAAAAATCACATGTTTTTAATTAATTTTAATCTTATTGTTATAAAATATCCATCCGTAATGTATTATAAACAATAAATGGGTAAATATTTGACATGTTTTAGTTTAATTTTTCTCATTTTTAACATCAAGGTACAGGAATCAAAATAAAAAAATTTACAATTAAAATTTAATCCTAACCCTAGCTCATATTTAACACAGTTTTTATTTTCAAATTTTTGATATGATATAACAATTTAACAAAGAAAATTATGCATCACTATAATATAAATATGCATTAAGTATTCCCCTAATATCCATTACACATTTCCTTTCGCTTACTAGGAATGTAAAATAAGCAAAAATGTAAGCACCACTAAAATGTCAATTATTACCACTAGTTAGTACTAGGGGCTACGAACTTTGCTTGGATTACCACTAGCTAAAATTTCAGTATGATATAAAACAAAAAATCTACACCCTAAAAGAGTACATAACAAAAAATGGCTTGAGAAATACTACATTAAAGTTTATATAATGTAATATATTTATATAATGTAATATGTTACAAGCAACTGCTAGATACATTGGTCATAGAAAAGTTGATTATGGGTTTATTTTAAAAATTAAACTCAATGAGTGCTACAAAAAGTAGCTAGTACACAACTTGAAGTTTTTTTCTTTAATAAAATTGATATTTATGTCCTTTTCGTAAAATGTTAGGTAATATGATAATTGTTATTTTTATTAAAGTTGATAGGTTGAATATACCGCACGTTAGTTTAAACTTTGGATTTTTAAAAAAAATTTAAAAAACATTATAAATAGTTGCCCCAAACATTGTAATGATACCATTTATAATATTTTATCATGCAAAATAAACTGATTGCAATCTTAGAAAATCACTGAAATCAAATATGCAGTTTAATTTTTATTAGTGGTTAAGTGATAAAAAAAAACTTCAGATTACTTCGAAGTAATATTAGAGATCTTGAGAAAAGCAAACATCCGTTTTTAGATTTTTTTTTGAAGTGCCTCAAACATAATTACCAGAACCCAATTGTTTTATATTTTTCGCACTTTGTGAAACCTTAGTGCTTATAAAGTATTCGAAATATAGATTTGAAAAACATAAATTCCATAAAATTAGAAAAGTAGCAATTGCAAGGGATAATGTTTTATCGCTTGATATTCTTGAATACTATAACTTGTCTGAATTACGTTTGTTAATAAAACAAACAGACATAACACATGTAAAACATCAGAGCAGTATTTTATCCCATTGTTTTACTTTACGCCCGTTATGAATTGTAAATAGTTTTAAAATCGATTACAAAAGATATAAGATTTCTAAAGCATAGTTTACATTACATAAAACATTATAAATATTTCAGAATGAAATTTCAACTGATAAACATCTTGTTATATCACTAAGTGCATTCTTACAATACAAATAGGTTTTTTTTCTTCATTAAATTTCATAAAATCCTACACCCAAATATATTAACAAAGAGTGAAAATATTTCACATCATTTTTATCAGTGACTTGTCACATTTTATTCACATTCGGCGTCAAAAAATTTCACCACAAACATACACATTATCTGATTAACCTTTGGTTACTTACATTTAGGCCGCCTTTTAAACTACAGTAAAAACTAAAAAAAAATCACTTCAAATTGAAATGTTAAAAAGTTAACCTTATCTACTATTTACAACTAGTTAAATAAAGTTGATACAAGATTTACACAAGTCAAATATTCACCCAAATGAAGAGTAATTATTATTACACAATCATCTAGCACAAGTTCTATTTTCGATATGGAAGACTCTTCAAGGATTTAAAAGTTTATCTAAATTTCTTTTGTGGAAGTTGATATGCCAATTGTTTATAGATAAACGATATTGGAAGTAGATATTACTCATTGTAAATGTACAATGTAAATACAGTATATATTTTATAAAAATACATACAAAAATCGAGTTATGGTATCCATTAACTTCACTACTGTTAAAGATTTTGTAATATGTTTCATTGATATTTCAAGCATACTTTAAAATTATGGACCACAAAATGTTACTGTATGTAAATTTTTAGACAAGATTGAATGGAAGCTTTTATCCTTATCTGAATTATAAAGAAAATTCAACAACTCTATACTACCTACTCCATAAGACCTATTTGTTACAATCGTAATACGTAAGCCTTGAGATGGAAGCAAATATAACAATATTAAATTCACTTAAATTTGAGATACTATTTACATACATTTTCACAATAATGTAGAAATAAACATACAAATATGTATACAATTAAAGCGCATCAATTTGTTTTCACACAATCTGAGTCAAACCCCAGTATGAATAATTACACTTTTCAATAAAAAATACAGAAAAAAAAAACAAAATTGCACATTAAAATTCCTACTTATAAATAATTTTGGCACTAATTATCTGTGGCACTATAATTAATTCTTGTTTCAACGTCCTGACCGTCACTGTGATCCATTGCTTTCATCTCACTGTCCCTCTCACTGTCACAAGCGCTGTCTGATGGCGCCGCGCCGTCTTCATCCTCCGAAGACTCCCTGCCAGCAGGAGGCATCGCCA